CAGTGCATCATACTACCTACATAGCAATACATCTGACGCACTAGCTCGAGAAAGTTACTCTGATAAAACAATAAATTTTCTTTAAAGATACTAGATTCAAAAGTCAAAGCAAACTATAGTTTCAGTTAGAAGTATTAATTTGAAATAATTTTTCAATTTTTTATCCACTACAAACTTCCTCAGATTAATCATCTTTCGTAGTTCAGTGGTCAGAGAATTGGTGCGTAAAGCCAAAGGTCCCGGGTTCTATCCTCGGCGGGGATGTGACAACAGCAACAAAAATATTTTCCTCATTAATCTGAATGAGTTTGTAGTGGATAAAAAATCAAAAAATTGTTTCCAATTAATATTGCATATTAACCACTATTAGTAACTAACAATGTCATAGGGTTTCATATATTCAATTAGAAGGTTAAAGTGAGATAATATTCTTGAGCAAGCATAAAGAGCGAAAAATAAAAGAGGTTACAAATTTGAAGCAGTAAAAATGACCAAGAAAACTAAACCCTAAAAAGTATTTTAAAGTAAAATTGTCTACCATAATAAATGAACAAAGTATGATATAAATTTGTAAGGATCAAACTTGATTGACAGCAGACACATGGCATTATGCTATTCAGAAAAAGAAAAATTTTGAAGGTTTAACATCATATAACACCGTAACTAAAATATATTTAGATACTAGGCACATATAAATAATTTGACACGGTACATACTTAACACAAATAAAACATTTATATAGCTTTGGGTAACGACAATTGGCCATTAATATTCAAAAGCATAAGTAATTTAAGATGTTTAAAGATTTTGAAAGTTTTTTATTCGGCAAATAGCGGTGGGCGATCGCATTTAGTAGAACGATTAATCATTTCGCTAATGTGACAATACAAACAACATTTATCATCTTACGTACGATGTTGGTTGTATAAGTTATAAATCGGTTTTGTGTTCTGCACTGAAACTCCTAATGGAACTCGATTTCGGGATAAGTTAGCTATTGCTACATTTACTTTGATAAATTCGACGAGGTGCAAGTACAGCATAAAATGTTAATGTCAAAAACCACATAATCTTAATTAATAAATAGTAACTCATATGATTTAAAGGAAATTTAATGGCCATCTTTGCATCTTAATCTTATTTACCTATAAGAAAGTATTTTAGGCGCATTGAAAATGATAGGCACATATGCTGGAATTCGAAGTTGTCCAAAAAAAAACTGACATTTGCTGTTTCAATATATTATTATTGTTATGTTTTGTTTCACCGTTTGTGATTAGTGGGTAAATTATGTAGGTATTTCTTGTGGCGACGTGAACCTGCTAAGACAAAATAATTTCCTACAGCTGCAGTTTTTCACTTTATTTAGCGTCGGCATCATTTGAGTAACGCCGTCATGTAGGAAATAATACTTATTTTCATGATATTGAAGTAATTTTACTGTAATTAGAGAGAAAAGTAATGTCTATTCTGTGACCGACGACACTACACCTTGACACTGTGATCTTACAAACCTAATATATCTTAAAAAAATAAAATTTCCATGAATTGCGAACTCTTTATCGATATGTTATGGTTTGAACAGTCAGTATATAACAAAATATAACAATAATTCAAAAGACTTACCGTGAAAATTTAATCAAAACTCCACCACAAAAAACCACTATTAGCTGAACTCACGACACCATCTCGAAAATGACAGTGTTGCCACAAAAAAATATGAAAAAATTGTTGCCACTACAAAAACTTAAAAGTAACATAATGTTGCCACCATACTTAAGTATTTTTACTACCAAAATCAGATATTTATTTTTCTCATTTATAGTAGACTTATGCGTGGAATTGCACCTAAGGATTATTTTCTGGTGAACATTCTCTTTTTCTAGGAAATAATCAAATGGTAAAAACGAATTAGGTTGCGGGCGCGAGCTTTAGAGATGACTTCCAAGTGTTCTAAATTATGCTACTGCCTGAAATATCAAAGAGATGAAACTAACCATAAGAAAGAACGATTTTATTTGAAAAAAAAGCATTTCATTGTGATCAAATAACTAAAACCAAAAAGCATATTCAGACTCGATCCTTAATTTCATATAGGTAATTTTGGTAGGTTCAAATCAGTACCGAAGTGTTACTTCTTACAAGTCTATTTAAGTTTATATGCTGAATAATGAGCCCAACTGTAATTATTAATTGGAAAATATTTATTTTTGCGTAAATTCGGCGTTTTTAAGAGAATCCAGTATAAAGTCGGAATTTCTTTATCATTATCTGTGTGTCAATGTTTAAAATCTGCTAAGTCGTTTGCCCTATAATTTCGCGATTCATTTATAGTGGTTCGGTGAAGTGTAAATACGATTTCGGATTGACATTTTGACATTTGAGCATTTTTAACAGAAAATTCCAATAATCATACTAGCGACGTTGGTATAACAAATTTAAACGTGAAGAGATCGCAGCTGTTTATCCTTTATGTGTCTTGAAATCTTCCACTATCGACTTCGATCGACCGTCAGGCCCGTCGCTAGACGATTTTCTTTTTCACGGGGTAGAATCAATACTACAAATGAACTACAATAAGTACTATTTTGAATACTAAAAAATTAAAGTAAAAGCAACTGACACGATTTATACATGATCTAGGTAGCACACATCTCCCCTTTTTATTCCTCATCGATATATGCGAGTTATGTCATTTTTAGTCGATTGCGGTTCAGGTGCACCCCTTCGTTTATATCACAAACAAATGGAATAAATTCTTAAATATACCTACTATTTGAAAAGGTGTTTGGTCTAAAGACTGTAATCGACCATAATTGTAACTTATTCTTATTAAATAAACAGGGAAGAAACTATATTGTTCAATTATTTTTGCTACTAAAAATGTAAATAGATCATTGTAACAAGTACAAGGAAAGTTATAAACAAATATTGCACGATAAAAACCCAAAACACATAATAAAAAGATCATCTAACATTAAATCATGAGAATGTGAAACACTTATAAATATTGAGAAATGATGTACGATATGTGGCAATTAAGTTGTAACTTTCCACCTAACAATACGGAGGATTGTTGCGAATTTTGAATCCTCCTTTAGCATTAGTAGAAGGATGAAGTCGGTAGATCGTTTCATTAATGATTACTTTCAGTATATTGTGGTATGAATTTACTGTGTTGTGTTGTTGATTGTAATGCAACACTCGAAAACAATTTACGGAGAGAAACGTAAACTGCATCTTTACCATAAAAATAAATAAATTAACCAAATGAAAACAATCTTTTGCGTGCGCTAAATTTTAAAATACGTCATTGCTTGCAGACATAAGTAATTCCCATAATACTAACTAGGTACTAGGATCATTTTAAGTAAATAGTTTATGAACATGTAGAGGATGAAAGCTGATATATCTAACGTTTCTAAGATTTATCTGTAAGAAATCAAATTTGTTTACTTTAAAAAGAATAACATAATTGTAAGGTATTGAGTGCGCGCCATGGGGCGCACAATTGTTTACTAGTAGGATTAAGAATTAATATTTAATTTCCTTGTTNAATTGTAATTGGACATTGAATGCGGGCGATTTACTAATTTTTATAAAATGTAGTTTGAAAGTTCACAAGAGGACTTCCGCATCATGATATAATGAACAATTAGTAGACGTTGTTTTTCTGTTATAGTATTTTGAAGAGGACGAAATCATGTGAATCAGAATTAATTAAATTCCTATACCATTAAAAAACGGAGCTTAACCGCCAAACGGAAATGTGTAAACGATAAGTTAACGTAACTTAATCAATTTGAGCACATGAGAAATAATAAATTCACGCAGTACACAGGAAGAAACTGTTACATTCGAATTATAAGCTTATCGTAGCCACGATAGTATTTTAAAGGTTGTTTTACTATTATTAGCTTTATGTGCGTTTCCAGTTAAAATTTGGGAATATAAAAGCACTTGTAAGTAACCGTTTTTTTTTTGAGTGAGAATTACATTGCGCTGTCATTAAGGCTGTTTTGCTTCTAGTTTTCGAAATTGTTAAAAAGTTTTGAATAGTTGCATTCTAAATCCTAATCAGTCATATCAGAGTTTTTAATCACAAAATGTATCCTCGTCCTTTGATCATCCCCTGCATCATAAACTAAAGAATGTTTTACTTTTTCCAACTTATAATATAACCGAAATATTTCAGTTTTTTCTGTTTTATCATGTTAACAAGTTCAAGGCATTTTTTCGCATTTCTTCATTACTAATTCTCTACCTATGCCTCTTTTAGTAAGTACTTTTATTTTGAAAAACTTTTATCTTTTCTTTAACATAGAATTTTGCTTTTGGAAACTTAATTTTAAAAATCTGTCCACTGTTGATAATACCTAACCGGATAGTAAGTAAACCAATTGTATCCCAACTGAAAATTTTGTTAACGCCAGAAGCGCACCGACCGGGAGGTGCTTGACATTCCAGAGGATATCGATTCGATTTCGGGTCCACCTGTTTTATCATTAGTCCATGTTATTTGATGATATCCTTGGATAATGTAGGCAAATATTCCTTAAACAGTCTCTTCTAGTGTCGTCATCTTGTTTGTCTCGCATTTCTCTTACCGCACTTAACCACCACCATCCACCAATTTGCACGATTGGCTGAAGAATGCTCTCCGCACTATTCACTATTTTTCACCAGTGTATGAACAGACAAAGTTGTTTTTTTACAAACTTTAAACCTTTTCAATCGAAATTACGTTTTCCTTTTTTATGACAGTTTCAATAAAGTTATTTCTTTCCAAACGCTCTATCCTTATCTGCTAAATAGCTAGGTTTAATTTTGAAGGCATTCCACACTTAATCGTCAGTTTATTAGGCGTTTCTTATTAGTAAATATTTTACCATATCAACTGCCAAACTGATTATAAAATGCTATTGTAACTAACTGTTTTACGAATTGCTTCCTGCTTTAAGTATTGTGTGATATTAACGATCTTATTTTATTGTTTTTAGGTGCTGTGGATAATTGAGAAGGCTAAACACGGATCTTTCAATCAGCGTTAATTGTAGGGTAAGTTAATCCTTATATCGCACTTCTAAAATTAACTTAATAGCAATAGCTATCTTCCAGTTATTTGAATACATTTAACAAACCGTTTCAGTTTTTGTTTGCGTGTTTATATATTTAGCAGGAAGTTAAGTTTGTTGCATTTTGGACTGTATGTCTGAATATTTATATGGATGTCATGATTAAGATCATTTATACGGCAAGACATCATAAAATGGGATTTTAACCAATAAGATTGGGTACTACCTAAATCTTGCTCATCTTGCCTCCGCTTGCTTTCAAGATAGACTGAATATAAACACAGGCGCTCACTGTAGGTACACCTTATTTTTGAAAATCGAAATATTGAACAGGGCTGTATTTAAAATTAAAGCTACTGAAAAAATAGGTTTGCCTACAAGAATTGGATCAAAAATTAAGTAAGGATGATTGCGATAGGAGACTGATTCAATGGTGGTGAGATGTATAGTTTTTATGGGATTGAAGTGTGGAAAGGGGAGAATAAGAAATTTTATATAATAAATATATCAAGGGGGTATTCAAATTAGAGAAGGAAGTACGCTAGATCGTGTAATAAAAAGGTAAATGTGGAAAGATGTGAGAAGAGGCGATATAAAGGATAGTAAAATATTAGGAGAGGTTTGGGAGGTTGGAAGAAGGGGATATCAGGAAGGAAATATAGGAGAAAAACGTATTGGAAACAGAGACTAAAGGTGAATATCTGATAGAAAAAGAGAGAGGAATTTGAACAGATTAAGAGTGAATCAGGAGCAGGGAAGGAAGTGGTTTAGGTAAGCGATCAATACAAGAATTGATGAGGAATAGATGCAGGAAAGTGATAAGGGGAGAGGGTATAAAAAATAGAGGAATCGAAACATGAGGGTCGTCCAGGGGAAATTTCTTAGGCGGTTTAGTAGGTATTTAGAAGTAGGGAGGGAAGTAAACGTGCTAACAAAATTTAGAACAGCAAATGAGTGTAGGGGATGTACATATTGGAAGAACGAAGAGATCAGGTGGTGTATGATGTGTGACTGGGAGGTACAATGTGAGTATTGTAGAACTTGGGAAGAACGCTATGAATAGGTGGGGTGGACTGAGCTTATTGAAGGAAATTTTAGAGAATAAGGAGTCGTTTTTTAGAACAGTGATAGAGGTGTGACAAAGAAAAGTAATGCGGAAGTAATGAATGAATTAGGTAAATGAATTAGGTAAATGTAAAAAATAACTTTATGTTTTAATTAAGTTTAATAAATTAGAATTCATTAGCTTTACCTGTAATATATGCATATTGGTTTTCTACATTAAAATTGAAAGTACTTACAGAATGTTGAATAAGAGCCACAATAAGGAAGAAATAAGTTATTTAGTTGAAATCCAACGTTTCGCCTATAGTTTTTAGTTTTTTTCCAGGTTATAATACATATATTTAGCAATAAAATTAGTATTTTGTATAGTACCTCTCAATATTATTGTTAAAATAGTCTGTTTATATTAAAAAAGATACTTAAAAATCTCAAAAGGAACTTAGTCGGTTTTTAGAATTCACTTAAACATTTATAAATAAGTTCTGATTAATACATGTTGTCTTAAAAACGAGTTTATTAACTTTAAAATCATAATTATTAGAAAATACTTCAAGACGTATGTAATGACCGAATGCGACCCTGGAAAATTGTACATTGCTGTGTATAAAATTTGTCATTCTGCTTCTGTCGGTTACAACAAATAAAAACTTTTGTAGTTCAATGACATAATTTTACCTGAACAGAATTTATTATGAAGAGACTTTGTTTATATGGATTGCAATCAAGGCAGATACAAACATACGTACTTTCATAGGTTTTTATTTTTGTCAGTAACAGTATTTAATGGTTAGTCAAAATTACGAAAGCACCCTTCATTTACGTTCACACGGAGCGAGGGCCTAGTGTTCACGCGACGATACCACAGTGAGCAATTCTGCACATGGTGCCGAGGGGGAAACGTTCAAAATTTTGTAGTCTTCTTAGCGCTAAACGAGAAATGAGACTGTTTCATAGTTGCATTTTTGACGTTTTACGACTATGTTTGCAGGATATTTCAAATCATTCAACATGCGTGCTCGGTGGTGAATTCTGCCCGAATTTGTGATCACTTTTGTACGCACTACTATTAACCCGGCTTTTCGTTATGGAATATAAAATATATCCTGAAATACAAATTAAATTCTGTGAAGTTCCATTTCGATTTCCATAGTTGAAGTTGTCATTGTATCATAACGCTGCGTGAGTTAAAACAGGGTGTGGAGTACGGGATAACTTTATAATGGTCTACGAAAAAAAGGTTTATAGTTTGAAGTAAGTCTAGACGGTTCCATTTCAAAATTGAGTCAGCGGTATTAATTTATATCTAAGAATATAATGTAGGTATATTGGTGTTGAAAGTCTGCTTTACTATTCTTCTTCTTATACAAGGTGTTTCCTCAATAATAATTTAAGAAAAACAAAATACAACAAAAAAATTTTTCAGTCCAATGACAATGGAGCCCGCAAATCGTCTTTGTAAATTTGAACGTACAGTTTGTTTTATTATGGGCCTGGATGTAGGCGACTAATGTCGCTCAGCTGATCTAGTGTGGATGTAATAAGTACCTATTGGGAAGAAGCCGAATGCACTTCCATCTTGTAAAAAAATCGGTTGTCTGTAAAGTCGGTTTATTGACGATAGTTGAACGTGACAACGTCATAAGAAAATATTGATGGAATGGTTTCATTTTTCAAAAGAAAATTTTAATTTTATTTGTTTGATAGATATTTTGTATGGATATAGAGAAGGAGGTAAATGGAAATGTATTATTGTATAGCAGCTGTCCACGCGGATGCATCGCTCACTCAAGTAGGAGAGAGACAGATGTCGAACGCTGCCGAACGCGGAGGTCGATTGTGCCTCTTTGTCGCTCGTTCCGCGCTCTCGCTTGCACTTTAAGCCTTAAATGGAACGCCTCAGAGCGAGGTAACGCCGCATGAATCATGTTTTTTCGTTCGAATTATAACACGTTGTCACGTCAAAAGAAATAAACGTGAAAAAGAAAAGCAGCGTACCTTTTATAAAAAAAAAGTTAAAATTGCCCGTCATTCGCTTCAATGCAACACTGACAGCGGCGTACCCAGTTTCTGCGAATTTTGGCCCTGATAGCGGGAGTAGTTCGAATTATACGAAAGGCATTGGTAATGTAACTCACCACCAACTGACGGTTGAATAAGAAACCTACTAGAATGCACTACCACATTACTAATTGTCCTTATTGTAACAGTATTTTATGAAATGGCTACTAAATGAATAAACTAACACTAACAAACAAGTAAATTCCACAACAATCCAAAGCAAACTCAACAATTGTTACCAACTAGTTCATTATGTGTATATATTACAGTCACTTCCAGCAGTGCAATTATACGAGATTATATTAATATTTAGCTTTTTACATTTAATTAAAACAAAATAACCAACAAGAGTCCTTCTGGACACATCCTTGAGCTCTGTCAGGTAAAACTAACGCTAGAAAAAGTAATTTAACACATGTGATTGGTCAAAGTAGGTATGCATCTCATCTCAACTGTTACAACCATAACACATACATTTGTTTTCGTACAGTACATCATGTTACAAACCTTTACCAAAGACTGGGTGGCCAGGGTTGTTTGTGAACCAATTCCGTAGTCCAATACTCGCTGTGAATGCTGATATTAGGTTCACTTCAGTTGTACGATCATGGGTTTATGTGGGCTTACGCTGTCACTTACTTTACATGCTAATCCATGTACCCAATTAATCATTTTTTTTTTTCGACTTTTTGGTAAAAACTGATATTGTAGGCAAAGTGTACATCTTGTCAACAAGAATAATTCATTTCCACCTAGTTTTGTCGAGTTCTTTATCAATATCAATGTCAATGTCAATGCACTTTTGTTGATAAACAATTACTTTCCGTTTACACATTGGGGCACAATTTTCGTTGTGATAGATACGTAGTTTTTCTAACATATTCACTGTCATCTAATGGACCTTAACGCGAGTGCATTTTCTTAGACATCCTTAACTTAATACCAAACATAAACAATAACATCACACCAAAAAGCAACCGATTCCGACCTACTGAAGGTGAATTTTCCTACAATCAACTGGCAGTCGTAACCAATTCACAATTGTGCAGGGCCGGCGTCAAAACTATTATAACTTTATAATTTTTTATTTTGTGTCAAAAGTCAAAAGTGTTATAACATTTTATGTTCAAATGTCCGTAGGAATCTATGGTATAAATATTAATTATTATAATTGAAACACCGTATATCCATATTTTCGATATAAATAATTTATTCTTAGATTAATTTTATCTACTTAAAGTAAAAGTAAAAAACTTGTACGCTGATCATGAGTTAGGAGATATGTTTGAGAAGGAAGGTATTGCGGAGATAGATGAGATAGGTTATCCCATAATAATAGAAGAGTTTGATATAGCAGTAAAAAACTTAAAGAATAATAAGGCGCGCCAGGTAGAGGTGGGATACAGGCGGAAATTGTAAAATGTGCAAGACAACAAGTTAGAGATCGTATGTTTAAGCTGGTTAGTTACATTTACGAGACGGGGAAAGTCCCGGAGGATTATAAACGGAATAGATTAGATTATTTTATAAATCTAGAAAGAGGTGCAATAGGTGCGAGACATTCAGAACAATTAGCTTAACTTCCAATGCGTCAAAAATCTTAATTAGAATTATACAGAGAAGGATGGAAAAAAGGGCGGAAAAACAATTAAGGAAAGATCAATTTGGGTTTAGAAGGAATATAGAGGAAAGCGGGAGGCCACTCTAGCTTCACGGGTAGTAATAGAAAAAACGATAGAAAAAGAAAAGAGTGTGGTTGCCGTGACTTCACGAGCAGAGTTTTTTCAATGTTATTTTTGCATTAGTGAATAAAACATCAATGATAAACACTATGTACAAAAACTTTATTTACAAAAATTTTACTGAATATTAAAATA